CAACCATCTTATAAATGATTTCACAAAATTTATTAGAACAAGTTGAGTTTCACATAAAACACATTCTAAGCAACACAACTGTATTGATGAGAGAAGCAAAATAAAATAACCGAGATTGTTTATATTTAGAAAAACTGATTTAATTTTATCACAGATAATCATGGTCAAAATAGATTTACAATTACAATTTCTTACTTCTGACAGCCAAATAATTTGTTATCATATGCAGACAACTCAAATACACATCAAAGAAGAGAGAAAAAATGATTTCGGAAACATCGTTCAGAAGCTCTTATTGATTTAAAAAATGATTACGATTATGCGATCCAAAAAAGACATACAGTGTAACTATATCAGCTAGTAGGTGGAAGAAATACATGTATTATATGTTACACACAGACATTGTCCATATCCAAACAAGTAAAATCAACATATAAACTGTGGCACAATATGATTAAATAATATATCTAGAAATGTATATTTTGTAAAAATAAAAATAAAATAAATATAGAGTCTATAATTTAAGAGCTATCACATTTGAATTATGGGACATAAAATATCACTTTAAAATGAAATCTTGTTCATCAAACATTCATTAAAACATTTAAAAGTAAAGTTTGTGTGGTAAAATGAGCTTGATAATAATTAAATGTCATTCATTAAAAGTAAAATCATGCAACAATTAAATGTCAATTATGTATGACAATGTGATACAGGAGTTATACACTAGACTGAGATAACTTTCCCATAAAACTTACTGACAAATGACCAAAAAGTAAACACTGCTTCACATAATGATTTGATAAATATAATAAGCCAATAAAATGTTATGAAGTTAAGTAAAACTATCATATATATAAATATATTGTTTACAACAATTCTAAAATACTACTAGATCTAGTTGGTTTTTTTTTTTAGATTTTTTTTTTATTATTAAACTATGCTATTGGTCTAGATGTATTTTTACGATAGCATTAAAATGTAGAAGATTTCAAACCTTCCGTACCATAATCAAACATTAAACTGTAAATGAGATCCAATGATATATGGTATGATTTAACACGTTCATTTATTGTGTGCAAAAATTCATCACAGGATAAAATAAAAGCACTGATTCATAATGTTCACTGTTAACAACAAATATGTTCACTGTTTTGATACAATGGTCTATGTTGCAGTACAATGTATTATATTCATAACTAACATGTACACTCTTTCTATAATTATGTTCATTTTTCTATTTAATGTTCACTGTTACAGTATGATAATTATATCTTGCATGTTCACTGTTCTATATAATGTTTAATGTTACAGTATGTATGTATGTATGTATGTATGATAGATGTTAACTTTCCTATTTCATGTTCACTGTTACAGTATATTAGTATCATACATGTTCACTGTTCTATATAATGTTCACTGATACAGTATCTATCATACATGTTCACTGTTCTATATAATGTTCACTGTTACAGTATCTATCGTACATGTTCACTGTTCTATATAATGTTCACTGTTACAGTATCTATCGTACATGTTCACTGTTCTATATAATGTTCACTGTTACAGTATCTATCGTACATGTTCACTGTTCAGTATAATGTTAACTGTTACAGGATACTATAAACTGTGTGTTATATAGTCCACAGATATGTGCAATATTCTCTACTACAACAGCAGTGTGTTCACTGTCACTATGATTTCATGAAAAATATGTACTATGATAAAAACATGTTTATTATGTTCACTGTTTAATATGACAATTACTGTTTTTTTTTCAAAATAAGACTTTCAGTTTCTGATCTTCAAGTAGTTAAGAAATCTATCACTGGTGCTAGAATAACAATTCTATCCGGCAACTTTAGTTAACAAGATGTTATAAAGAAGAAGATAACATACAAAATGAACATTATCAACATTGTATAAACACAACATTTCACTCAATTGTTAGTTTGATAACAATCACATTACCTAATAAACTAAAGACCAGACTAAAAAATACCTACATGTATTTTAGAAAAAAACATTAAGCAATTTTTGTATATTTATGGAAACTTTCCAAGCTTCTCATACTAAAAACATTCATCATCTAGATAATACATTAAATTATAATAGATTTATAGGTATGTGTAACACTACAACTTTCTATATGTATAAATGTGATTACAAATATTTCTACATCTAGTTTTCAACTCTCTACACTCAATTTTCTATACCTTTACTTCAAGAATTAACTCATTTAGTTGTCTTTTTTTTCTATACAGTATATATCATAGAACATTATTATGGCAAGAAAATTTATATTTAATACAGACATTAATGAACATCTTGCTAGGAAACTCCAGACACATTTATTTTATAAACTTTAATTATTACCACATCTACAACCTTCTACAATAAAATCATTACTGTTCTAAATACATGTCATTAGGGAAAAAAACAACACAACAGCAAAATATTGGAAGACAAAAATATCATATATGAGATTATAACATCATAATACAATAGGGGTGTCACTTTTATCTATTAAAATGGGTTCAGTCAGTTTACAACCAAAAACAGGTTTGAAAATTTAATAACCAAAAAACTGAACTCGTATAAGACCAACAGATTAAGAAATTTTAGATTAATTTTTAACATTACTTTTGTTTCTTTATGACAAAATATGACATTATGTTTTAATTTCAAATGTATTTTTTCTAATTTTTCTGATTGCAGGCTATCTCATCTTATCAGTTTCTCAATAATCAGATGTTATGTAATTGTTTTTAAGTATAACCAAATACAACAAAAATGTATTATCTTACAATAAAAAAAGAACAAAGTTAATAATTAAAATCAAAGATTTTTTTTTGTATGGTCCTTTAAATGTTTAACACAGTTAATCAGTTGCTGTTTCAACGGTTGGCATTTTGCTAACAATGACACCCCTATAATACAATACCGAACATATACACTGATATTGGTGTTATACTAATGTATATGAAGATATTTTATCATCTATCACAGCAGTCTTATCTTAATACAATGTACAGTATAACCCGTAATCTCACTGCTTATTAAGAGAAATCAAAACCCAACTGTCAACATAGTTCACCATCCTAATGCATTACCTCTGCTTTGAAGAGTATTCAAGGATTGTCATACCTTAAAATATGTGTCCATATACAGAAACAAGAGCTGTCGGTAGGACAGCAACGCTCGACTATTCTAAGTGCTTGATAGTAAAAAAAAATGCTTGATACAGTTACCTCCTCCTGTTTACAGGTTGGGGTAATGATGGTGAACAAGTGTGCAAAGTTTCAAAGCAATATGTCAATGAACTTTGAAAATATTTGAGGTATTACAAAAACTTTAAAATAAATTTTAAGTCGAAAAAGGGGCATAATTCTGTCAAAATGCTTGATAGAGTTACCTCCTCCTGTTTACAGGTTGGGGTCATGATGGTGAACAAGTGTGCAAAGTTTCAAAGCCATATGTCAATGGACTTTGAAAATATTTCAACTATTACAAAAACTTTAACGTAAATTCTAAGTCGAAAAAGGGGCATAATTCTGTCAAAATGATTGATAGAGTTACCTCCACCTGTTTCCAGGTTGGGGTCATGATGGTGAACAAGTGTGCAAAGTTTCAAAGCCATATGTCAATGGACTTTGAAAATATTTGAACTATTACAAAAACTTTAACGTAAATTCTAAGTCGAAAAAGGGGCATAATTCTGTCAAAATGCTTGATAGAGTTACCTCCTTCTGTTTACAGGTTGGGGTCATGATGTTGAACAAGTGTGCAAAGTTTCAAAGCCATATGTCAATGGACTTTGAAAATGTTTGAACTATTACAAAAACTTTAACATAAATTCTAAGTCAAAAAAGGGGCATAATTCTGTCAAAATGCTTGATAGAGTTACCTCCTCCTGTCTACAGGTTGGGGTCATGATGTTGAACAAGTGTGCAAAGTTTCAAAGCCATATGTCAATGGACTTTGAAAATATTTGAACTATTACAAAAACTTTAACATAAGTGGTTACGCCGACGCGGACGCGGACGCTCGGGTGACTGCAATAGCTCTACTTATTCTTATCGAATTGTCGAGCTAAAAATCATGCCCTATAAGAAATGTAAGATCAATTTTTTCTTTATAGAAAAAACTAATCAATGAACTAGATACAAATAGATCAAACCTTCAATTCTTAAAAAAAATTCAACCTTTCTAAAAATATATGTCAGATCTTATATCTGTATCTTATAAAATAAAAAAAAACAATAAATACAAGACATTCCTATAAATTATGTTACAATTCACAATAAAACTTTATTCTTAACTCATTGTATCCCAATATATTATTTTTCTCCATAGGATGACCTTAACCTACTGTAAACAAGGGCGGGACAACAATTACCATAAACACTCTAGTGTGATTTTAACAGTGACAATAGTTAACACAATATTTCTACAACACTAACTCAACACTAACACAATATGTAATATAAATGTATGGTAAAACAAGACAATTTATCTAGTATAAAAATGCTGAAGGAATTGTAGCAAATTTTAGATAATGCTTATAAAGAAAACAGAACTGGTAAAACCATCAAATTGTCACAAACAACAATAACGATTTGCCTTGTGTACATGTAATGCCTTTATGATATGTGTATGAATACCTAAACACCATTATTAAATGATAACATTGTTAAAAGATGTAAAATGATACCATTTGTCTTAAAAAAGATCTTAAAAGCTGACATTAACATTAAATTGCAGTTTTAACTATTTTTTAAAATGCAGTAATGCTTATAAAATGCTTATATTGATATAGAGGGGATTTAAATGTAATCTGAATATTTATAAATTCAAATATCTGTACTGTCTCTTATTAAGTGATACATGTTTTTTCAACACACATGTGACATATAAGTTGCCATTTTTGGTTTGGTTTTAAGTCAAACTTGCACTGTAAAGTCAATTTAAAGCTTTACTGGTGGATTTTTGTTTGTTAGGTTTTATGGCACACCAACACAGTTTATGTCATTTGGCACCAGAATTTACTGGTGGAGGAAGGGGAAGACCATAGGTGCCCAAGTCTATGCATTATTTCAGGCATAGAGGAGGAGAAACCAAGACAATACATAAGCTAGCTGGGCAGCTTTATCAGCAATGAGAAGCAAGAGGCATAAAGTCAATAGTTATACATAACTTGCTTAACTGTGTAGAAACTAAACCATCAAATGTGAAAATCATAACCTATAAGTTTTCTTAATCAAAATATACAACAAAATATAGATGCATGCCAGATTAATATATGGCCAGCTGAGCTTTCATTAGATCATAATGATAAATGGTAGGAACTTAGATAGAGGCATCAATCTTTACTGATATGTCTATACATAAGCCATAACAATAGAGTTTCAAATGGTTTAAGTAATTCATTTACTAACACATCAATTATCTATACATGTATATACTTAACAAAAATCCTGCATGAATACCTTTTAATACTTTGCACCTAAAATCAGTCAAAGTTGTTCATTAGAGGTAAAGATTTGACAATTTTTTTTCAAATTAATCTTTCAATAATCCAGTGATGATTAATTTGAAATGATCTTTAACAAAACAAAACCTGATTTAAACAGGATCACTTTGTTTTTAAGTAAAGTAAAAACACTAATAGCTAACATTTGAATACTGTAACTCTTAAGGTCACTTATAACTGTTGCTGTTTATACATTGTTGAACTGTATTCATCAGTAATCTACCCAAAATATGTTCAGTTTATTAGGATTGATATTTGTGGGTCTTGGTGGTGGTCGAAGATTTCCAGCCTGACGTAAATATGTCTCTAGATTTACCATACCTGAGCTACCCTGTAATATACATAAATAATATCTTATAACCTGGAGATGTATAAAAATATTTGTGAATTAATTAAGAAAATAACACCAATCCTATAATAAAAACCTTTTTATGTAAAAGGCATGTTTCTGTAAAGCAAATCAATTATAATAAGATTAAACAAATTGCATTAAACCAATTACAAGTAAAAGAGAACAAAAAACGAAGTGTAATATTAAAGTCATTATGAATATGACAGCTTCCAATTTCTTTAAAAAGACCAGGTGGTAATTTATAATGATTTAAGTTTTGTTCTAATATTTTAGGTACAAGAAGTAAAATATTTACTCTGTTTGATTGTGGTGCCTGTCTGTAAGTTGTTGCTGTTGATGATGCCGATAACTGTCCATGTGATCGCGGAACTGTCCCGTCGCCGATATTGGTGGCGTGTCTATAATACACAAAACATCTCACCATGACCAAGTGTACAAACCAGTCAATAACTAATTTATTTTTATTCAATATCAAAAGGATTATATTTGAATATAAACTTAAGATTTAAAGTTTTTTAATCAAGACTCATCAAAAATTTTTAAGAGAGCTTCTTAATCAGTTCAATTAAACAACTACAATGTTAGTTTAGTTAACTGAGGTATCATATAGTAATGTGACATGTAATCTTTTGTTTCTATAATAAAATGTGAAATGAAAATTGTATTTAAGAGACCTCAAAATGTACAAACATCTAATAACAGTTCTAACATAATTATGCAACTCAAGAATTCAAGTTTTTATCAATTCAATCCTTTGAAAAATTGGAAGAGAATGTACATGCAAAACTAATACATATATATTATTATATCATCTGAAATATTACTAAGTAAAGGTGATCATTATATGATAGAAATAAGCAGTTATTAACTCACTAGTACTAAAATGATAACAATGTATTCCTTCAGATTTACAGTTGTTTTCATATATATATATTTTAAATATTAATTGGCATCAAAACAATTAAATTTTCAACAAAGTTGAGCATAAAACATGAACTGTCACCACTGATTAAAGAACACATACTTTTTCCCATAACTTAAACAATACAGTAGCTAATTCCAATGTAAATTTTCAATTTTTACAACAAGTTATCTTGTAAATGTAATATGTGTAAATTAATTTGTTAAATGAATGAATGAGAAAATGCAACACTTAGCAATTTTCAAATCATGAAACGTAGTATGTATTTTGATTAAGAAGAAATAACTTAGAAAATATGTTTTAAATATCATACAAATACAAATAATTATATAGAGTAATCATTTTATTGTAAATTGTTAAAGGCTAATAACTAGATATGAAGTATTGAAAGATGATTATAATTCATCAACTTTAACATTCCCCATACAAATGTACTGGATTAAAAATTCTGTCATCTTAAATCTACATTAATCTACATTCCTGTATACCTTATAATCTACATACATGTAACTATGTATAATGTAGTCAGTCATCATCTTACCATAGAACTAACATTTACCCAAGAAAAAAGTTTATAAACCTAATCAGTCCTTTGAATTTCTAAAAAATATCAGTGCAATAAATTCATGTAGATTACTCTGTCATTGTATTGAGTTAGAAGTGAAGGCAAAATGGCCTTCCACTTGCTGGATGTGTATAGTGAAATCACATTGGTCTTTCATTACGGCCATTAAACTCTCAAAGTGTTAAAAAAATACATTTTGTTGAAAATTACTAGTAGACACACAGTGTTACAGTGTTGATGGAATTGACTTTATCATTCTGTAAGAATTGATAAAACCTAAAAGCTACCAGGTTAAAATTCTAATGTGATACTCTTAAGTATATAAGTAACACATTAGGTTTGCCTGTAACAGTAAAAATATTATCTATAAAGGCCTCAACAGACCGGTAGGATTTAGTTGTACAGCACTAATTAGAGATAAGATGTACAATTTTCAAAGCTATACAACACTTGCATTCAGAAGGTAATTCTATACTGTAAGAATCTTCTGAGGTTTCCCCTGAAAAGGATCCCTTTACATTGATCCTTTACATACTTTACTCACTTAATACTTTTTTTCGCCATGAGTAATGATTGAAACACCTCCATTAAAAAATATATATATATATTTTTTTAATGTGAAGCCTGACCGAGACTCAAACCTGGGACCCTCGGAATACCGTACTGCGGCTCTACTGACGAAGCTATGTGGCCGCCTACAAACTACCTCCCCTCCCCAAATTCATGTAATTAGAGAACAACTCAATACCGTGACATAATCATTTTCGGAATAATTTGGGATTCGAACACAACACAACTTTGGGTCTCCTGAAGAGTCTTTCATCATCATTTTTAGCCCATCTTACTACTATGTTTACCTTTTAGCCCTAATATTGTTCTGGAATTTCATTCATTACACCCATTATCAGGAGATAATTTGCTTATCTGTTACTTGTCATTGTGGGAGGTCTGTAAAAATCTGTACGACAAGATTTTCAAAATAGAACATGTCCTATCCCTTACATCTTGACATAAGGTTTCCGAAATCAAGAAATAGTAGCCTTCACACATTAAGATTTGTCTGTACATCTTAGTTTTAATTGGTGTTGTACTTCAAAATCCTACCGTCTGTTGAGGCCTTAAGGAAAATACTGTTACCTGAGGCTTTAGCAAGATTTACAGTATTTTTGCAAGGAGTGATAGTTTTGTTGTTACTCACAAACCAGTGTGTTATTTATTTTATTACCCCGAACAAATACTTCATTGGGACACTGTTTCTATAGGTTTTTATTTTTCACCTTTTTACTGTGAAAAATACTGTTACCTATGTAACAGTACAAAATTTTTAATCACATGGTACAATTGAATTAACAAGAGAATAACTTCCACTGGCCTACTGGAAATCAATATTACAAAAATAGTGAGGGGTAATAATGTGATATCTTTAACTAAGTCCTTCACACGAGCTGTTGTGACTAATTTAAAACACCTTCTACAAAATACATTATTCTCTACATGTAAAAATCAATAGCTGATAAGGTAGGAAAATGAAAATAAATGCCCATTCATTTGGTGGGGAATCTAAATGGTTTTTACTATTTCAAGATTAGACCAACCAAAATCTACATTGTTTATTTCTTGAAATATACATACTCAGTCGGAATCGATATGGCACTGGAAAAAAATAATATTTTCTTCATCATCTATACATGAGTGAACTAGTAAAATTCATTAATAAAACTTTCTTGCAGAATGTTCAGAAAAACCTCTGTGCATAAGATAAAACCAATGTTGAGTAACCAGGTCAAATTTATCAAGTTTATGTTGAGAAGAAACCTGAGGAAAGTCTTTCAAACTATAACTACATCATGTAATGTTTTACTCTTTTATTCCTTATGTTTGATTCAATTCTGACTGAAATATCAGATCTTCCTAATCAAGTGTTTCACAAAAATGTTATGTTACTTGAGAACTGATATTTCATCAGATTGGTTTAATTCCTATTTTCACTAAATATCCTAAATTCATTTTTCCACAACAAATTGTCTTAATCATAATTTCTGACCTTTTTCCTTTTTTGTCTGATTATTTTTCAGCTTTACTGCTGGAGTATAATGTTCATTTAGTTCTGGGTCTAACAAATTAGTCCTCAATAAATCATTACAGAATGTTACAGTAAGTCCCAAACATGTGCTCATATGTGACATAAGTTTCTTAAAAAAGAATCAAAGTAGTAAAAAAGGGAAATTTTATGTCTATTACAAGAACTAATGTAGGATTTTTAAGTTGTAGCATGAGATATACAGTAACACATAAGATGTTCAATATCTATATTACAGTACAAGTTCAGTACACTAGGAAACTCAGCTACTAATTTTATATAGAGCTAAATCTTTAATTATCAGGACAAAAACCAGACAAATACAGTGTCAACTGCCTTATACAAATCCCAGTTTGATAATAAATCTTTTTTCCCCTATAAGAAAACATTACACTGTAACATATGATGCTCCAGTCAAATATCACAAAATACATAAACAGACAGGTCTCAAATGCATCTGTAGCCAAAATTCAGCCAAATATCCCTATCATGAAAGTACATATTTTTCCTATGTTCATAAAAAGTTATTATTAGTTACATATTTATTGACAGAATTATTTTATAAAATCTTATTAACTTATTTTTTTTCTAAAATTCTATGATGTCTTTAAATTATCCATTTACAAAATATTTTCCCTTCGTCACACTATACACATTAATGAATTTAAAAACAAAAGCTATTTGTATGACAGCACCCTCGACTTTTCTTAGTGCTTGACAGTAAGAAAAGGAGCAAAACTTTGTGAAAAGGAAACTTTGAGTTATGGGACCTTATAATGCCCATCATGTTAGATAATCATAGAGAACATTTAAGTGTGAGAAGTGTTAACCTATTCCCTTTCTAGGAGATAATAACTTGCTGGCACTGTGACACCTACACTGATGTCAGGGCAAGTACTAAGATTCTCCATATTATTCCAATAGTTGAGCTAAAAACCATTGTCACCATACAAAAACTGTTGAAAAAAACCCTGTCCTTATACATACAATAATAATAGTCTAGAAATGTTTGTGGTAATGATTGAAGTAATGATTAAAGTGATAACTACAGGAATATTAGCCAAAGCACAAATCTCTCTTATACAAGCTTCAAACAAAGTCTGGTGATATAAAGATGACAGAAATAATGCAGCCACACAATGTGTCTATATTATAATATAGTACAGCAATTAAAGCAAAAAATATAATTATATTGATCATGTGACTAAATCATTTAAATATAGCTCAAATCATTTCATGTCACAATGAATAAATAAAGTTCCTATGTAAATATATATACATAATGTATATAATATATGTGTGAGTTGAGGATATAGTTATATATATATACCTGTCCGAGTCAGCTGATATTATATGAAATAATTACAGTATTTATACAGTTAGTAATGTATTGTGTATATACATACTTGTATTCATATTATACATGGTATTATTACAGATTCTGCTCAAGCAAACAGCTTCAATACCTGATCCAAGATAAGATAAAAAAAAAAAAACTTTCAAATAAAGAAACCTCTATATAAACCAGTAATAACATTTTACTGATATTTATATAACTGGAAATTCAAATAAAAAAAAAACAAAACAAAATGTGTAACAAAAGTTCTGATATTTTTGCAGTAAACATGTATAAACAAAGAACATGTCATTACTTTGAAGTCCGATGTAAGAGGTTTCTTTTACCACTGTTTAATATAGTCATTGCATGCCATGCTGAAAGATTAAATGTTAGCAAAAAAAACAGCATTATCAAAGTTTACATTATATACAATTTACTAAAGTTTTACTTCTAAGATGCATAAAAAACTACTGTTTAGTTCTACAAATTAAAACTAGATACAAATTGTTAGCTTACAAGATACATATTGAATCACTTTGGGTGAATTACTCATTATATTTTTGCTCAGATGTAACTTTGATTATGCCACCTTTAAACAAGAACAATAAGAAGCTGCAAAAGTTCAAAGGTCACCATTTCAGTAATGGTGAGGTCACATGACTTGAACATGTGACTTGTTACCTTGGTGATAGGGTCACAGCACTTCCTGCTACACCAACCCCAGTGATCAAAGTAAAGTCAACTGTTGCAACAAAGTACAAAATAGTTTAGCAGAGTCTTATCAAATACATTTGGGTATTCCTTAAAATCTTTTTTTATAACTACAATGTATTTCAACAAAACAAAGTTTTTCTTATCAGGACATTCTTATAATGCCTTGAAAAATAAGAATTAGAATTTAACTACAGTACCCCTAAGACTTTACATACTTATTTTTATAACTCTCAGAAAGAAAAATATCAAATCAATAATGTTTGCTTTAAACTTTTAACTTAAAATAATTCAAAATATTTATTGTTCTAGCTAATGTTTTAAGTAAACGTTTATTTTCAGAAATATAAATGCTTTTTTTAAAATCAACGTTTACATCAGATTTTATTACCGCACATTTATGTGTAGTAATTACTGGCAACAAGATATTTCTCATATAAAATGCAACATTTATTACCTCATATACTTGTTGTTACCATGACAACTAACATCATCATTTCTATGTTTCTTATTTCCATGACAACTTAATTAAAATGTAATATCATATTTCTAATTTTGTATTTACATGACAAGTCGAATATTACAGTTAATCATTCATATTTCTAGACAGGTGAGAATGAAAGAGATATTAATGTGTTTTTAATGTGCTCAGATATCTCTTTACAAGTGTTAATAATTATATTTCTAGCAGCAAAGACAATGTTAAACTTGTTATATATCAACAGATATCAAATATATGGTCAAGTAAATAGAAAGTAGTCCAACTAATTAGACTTGTCAAAGAGACATTGAGATAATTTTGGATGATTTAACAGCATAACAAAAGTCTGTAAATTGGGTCAAATCGTTCATGCAAAATTAATTAGGCTACATAGAAAGGTGCTGTGCATGTACACATATTTTTATTAGGTTTTCATGAAATAATTGACAAAACAATTAATTTATAAATTTTATGTTTAGTTTGTGTAACAGTATTATAGAAAGATTAATCTGAACAATATATCATCCTACCAACACCAATAATAACAACAACAAGGGCACCTGCATGTGGTATTTATGCTTTTTATATTAAAGGAAATAACTAAACATATTAAATTCAACTATGTCATGGTGATATGGCTGTAAAGCACTGCATCTCAATGAGATAAATAGTTTTGTAAATATAAATTTATATTCAAGATATTGGTATTCATACAAAAGTTATTTTCCATGTGTAAAAGGAGCATAACTCTAGAAATATTGTTCACTTAGTTATGTCCCTTGACGTACAGATGTGCCTTCCAAAAGCAAGACTCCCAATTTTTGTCCCTATATACAAGTATGCAAAGACTGAGTACAATATCTTTGATAATTCTAAAGAAAAGTATCAGTATCAAATCTTTACAAATATATTAAGTTAAAGTGACTAGAGCTATCTTTGCTGTCTGCAGATTAAAAAAAAATGGTATTACCAAGCTATCTGTATGAAAGAAATATGTTGATATATTTCATTTATATTTCATTTTGAGTGAATGGTGCATTGTAGAAATCATTGCTGAACCATGAAAAACCTACTTGAAATAGCAGTATAAATTATATTTCATTCTGTTTATATACAGTTATCATGTGTATCAAATAATAGAAACATTCTATGTAACAACCCTTTAGTGAGTTAACCATAAGATTGTGTAAAGAATGTAACTTTACTGCTTTAAATTCTATAAAAAATTATTTCATTAAAATAGCTCTATACACTTTAGAAAAGACTCACAGTTTAACTCATAGAAATTTAGCTTTTACAATAATGCCAATTTGTCTAACATTTACTGTGCCATGTCATGAGAAACAAGAATTCCATGTTATGTCTTGTTATCTTTATAAGTGTTATAGTAATGCCCACCTGTCAGGAATGATCTTTTAACTGAGTTTTCAATTGCAAATAAAAACTGTAAAGGTTAAACATTTTGTTTTTTATTTAATTGGTGGTGGAAAATACAATATTTCCTTCTTAAATGGGGACAGAAATACAATAACAATGTGACACTGCTGTCACTAAGCAAGATCTTTTGGTTACAAAGAGTTAGTTCCCTTGCCATAATAAGTAAAGCAAATTAAGTACTGATATATAAAAAGATAAGCTACATATAACATTGCTGTGTAAAACATTTCTGTGACAAATGTCTATCATATAAGCAACAATGATCACACAAGTTTTTACCATCATAAACACCACATTATTCAGAGAACTGTTGAACATTCTCGAGATATTAATTTGTTATTGCATTTTAAAATTTGATATAATGTTTGCCAAATAAAAACACTAGATATATATTTATAGTTAGAGGAAGCTGAATATTTATATCTGATTTACACAAGTAGCTGTTTCAACAATACTGGACATACATAAATCATGAATTGAAATTCATACATGTATAACTGACATTCAACATTTTATTTTCCTAACTGTATTAAAAATTGGCCTCACTTTATAAGGAATTTATACAAATATTTCTCAATTATTTATTTTTCTTTTAAGACCTAAACTTAAACCAAAACAAAAACCATGATAAAAGAAGATTTTTTGCTCATTAAACTTTAACAACTCATATCTCTCCAACTAATATGAAATTCATAAATAACAAAATACATTAATTATACAATATAAAAAATATGTTTTGTATGAAAGAAATTGGAAGTTTATACTATTGTATTCTATTGAAATAAATTCAAGAGAAATAACAATTTATATGAGATATGGGTTAAGTCTTCATTTAATACATTATTGGTGACTCCTTACAATGATTCAATATGTGTACTGAATTGTAACTTGTGCTACATTATCTAATTTTAAAAGTAATATAAAGGCAAGTTGGATGACAAAACAGGCGTTTTTATCTTAAAAGTACCGTAAAGAACTGGAATTATTTTGATAATCTTTGAGTCTTACACAATGCTGCTATATAACTTAAATGCTTATTTATTTTTGATGGATTGCTATATCTTATCATTTTATTTAAGTTAAATATTGTTAATGAAATAAATGCAATAGGTAAACTGTTCCATCGCAGCCTCAGTCTGTTATGATACCCTAAACTTAAGATAAAATAGTTGATTTATACCTAAACTTAAGATAATATAGTTGATTTATACCCTAAACTTAAGATAAAATAGTTGAATTATACCCTAAACTTAAGATAATATAGTTGATTTATACCCTAAACTTAAGATAATATAGTTGATTTATACCCTAAACTTAAGATAATATAGTTGATTTATACCCCTAACTTAAGATAATATAGTTGATTTATACCCTAAACTTAAGACAATATAGTTGATTTATACCCTAACTTAAGATAATATAGTTGATTTATACCCTAAACTTAAGATAATATAGTTGATTTATACCCTAACTTAAGATAATATAGTTGATTTATACCCTAAACTTAAGATAATATAGTTGATTTATACCCTAAACTTAAGATAATATAGTTGATTTATACCCTAAACTTAAGATAATATAGTTGATTTATACCCTAAACTTAAGATAATATAGTTGATTTATACCCTAAACTTAAGATAATATAGTTGATTTATACCCTAAACTTAAGATAATATAGTTGATTTATACCCCTAACTTAAGATAATATAGTTGATTTATACCCTAAACTTAAGATAATATAGTTGATTTATACCCCTAACTTAAGATAATATAGTTGATTTATACCCTAAACTTAAGATAATATAGTTGATTTATACCTAAACTTAAGATAATATAGTTTATTTATACCCTAAACTTTAATAATATAGTTGATTTATACCCTAAACTTAAGATAATATAGATGATTTATACCCTAAACTTAAGATAATATAGTTGATTTATACCCTAAACTTAAGATAATATAGTTGATTTATACCCTAAACTTAAGATAATATAGTTGATTTATACCCTAAACTTAAGATAATATAGTTGATTTATACCCCTAACTTAAGATAATATAGTTGATTTATACCCCAAACTTAAGATAATATAGTTGATTTATACCCTAAACTTAAGATAATATAGTTGATTTATACCCTATACTTAAGATAATATAGTTGATTTATACCCTAAACTTAAGATAATATAGTTGATTTATACCTAAACTTAAGATAATATAGTTGATTTATACCCCTAACTTAAAGATAATATGTTGATTTATACCCCTAACTTAAGATTAATAGTTGATTTATACCCTAAACTTAAGATAATATAGTTGATTTATACCCTAACTTAAGATAATATAGTTGATTTATACCCTAAACTTAAGATAATATAGTTGATTTATACCCCTAAACTTAAGATAATATAGTTGATTTATACCCTAAACTTAAGATAATATAGTTGATTTATACCCTAAACTTAAGATAATATAGTTTATTTATACCCTAAACTTAAGATAATATAGTTGATTTATACCCTAAACTTAAGATAATATAGATGATTTATACCCTAAACTTAAGATAATATAGTTGATTTATACCCTAAACTTAAGATAATATAGTTGATTTATACCCTAAACTTAAGATAATATAGTTGATTTATACCCTAAACTTAAGATAATATAGTTGATTTATACCCCTAACTTAAGATAATATAGTTGATTTATACCCCAAACTTAAGATAATATAGTTGATTTATAACCCTAAACTTAAGATAATATAGTTGATTTTATACCTAAACTTAAGATAATATAGTTGATTTATACCCTAAACTTAAGATAATATAGTTGATTTTATATACCCTAAACTTAAGATAATATAGTTGATTTATACCCCTAACTTAAGATAATATAGTTGATTTATACCCCTAACTTAAGATAATATAGTTGATTTATACCCTAAACTTAAGATAATATAGTTGATTTATACCCCTAACTTAAGATAATATAGTTGATTTATACCCTAAACTTAAGATAATATAGTTGATTTATACCCTAAACTTAAGATAATATAGTTGATTTATACCCCTAACTTAAGATAATATAGTTGATTTATACCCCTAAATTAAGATAATAGAGTTGATTTATACCCTAAACTTAAGATAATATAGTTGATTTATACCCCTAACTTAAGATAATATAGTTGATTTATACCCTAAACTTAAGATAATATAGTTGATTTATACCCTAAACTTAAGATAATATAGTTGATTTATACCCCTAACTTAAGATAATATAGTTGATTTATAAGGCAGACACAGAGATAACAACTCAAACATTTCACCTTCAATTATCACATCATCAACATTAAGTATATATGTTAAATTTTTCAACATTCTTTAGTCTTACTTTTAGTAAATAACATAAGAGATCAGATTTAATATTTTCTATATACATGTGTAAATCAGACAATTAAATAAAGCCCTGTATAAATAGAAAATCTGCACTACAGATTTGTTAGAGAGACAAGTTAGAAAAGCTTAACATAGATAAAACAACTCTTGTAACATTTATACCTGGCACGGGCTTAAACAAGGGTCCTTGTACTATGAAATAAGTAAATAAATGATAAAATAGAAAAAATAAAATAATTGTTAGTTCTTCAAAATGCATGCTGGATAAAAAAAAAATTTTTTTTTTTTCATTCCCATAAAATGAACAGCAGACACTTTGTTATTAAGATTGGTTAAGTATTAAAGAAGTAACTTGATGGCTATAGATGTTACTGCTCATCATTTATAGTATTATTTTTTATACTATGAAACATATCCATAATTTTTCTAACAAGCAAATTGTTTGTTCAGATATTCAACACTATAGAAAACTGTTTTCCTTTGTGATTTCTTTGTAAGAAAGATCTTCAATAGAAAATCATTTTTCTCCAATCATAAAACAGATAATGAACTTGTGTGGAATATGTTTCAATTATATACATTTGAGATAGAACAAAATGCCAAGTGGTAAATAAAACCCATAAAATTTCACAAATATTTCTAATAATTTATTTACTGATGTATTTCATGCAAATAGACTAAAAAATGCAAAAAAGTCATTTTTGAAAAAAAATCAAGTTAGACCAGTGTTGCGTTCAGCCATCGATATAGATTATTAATTCATTATAAATACAATATAAAACAAGTTTCTATAGCTCGTTTAACATGCTCAATTCAAACTGCATGCAGTATAATAACTGTCATCTCATACAAAGATTATAGACAGCCTAGTGGTTGAAGTGATTAATCCTATCAGTATAAATACAATGTTTTCTAAAGAGAACATACCTTATATCTAGAAAAAAATATCTGTATATAACATACTTTAACTGAAACCTATTATCAGGCCAGTCAAAACATGACTTATATAGACTTATGTTCATTTCTAGAGATTTATAATTCTACAAGTAATATTTACAGACAACAAGTGTTACTGTATAAGTTAACAGTAGGTGAACTAAATTATTCATGCTGAAGTGTTTAATTAATACAAACGTATCATTTCACAGACTTCACACACAACATGCTACAGGGAATAAATTATCACACAATGTGACATTTCTCACCTTGGCCTGTATCATCAGATGATGGTGAAGCCATGGAAATATTTTTTCTCGAGGATTTCTTTCTTTTTCTTTTTGATTTCCCGCCTTTATCTGCCTCACTTCCCGAATCTTGTGCTGGGCGTACAACAGAGCGGATATTACCACCACTGTTTTTACCAGAACTCGGAGATTGATTTGTTAAATTACGTCTCTTCAACATCGTGTATCTACGACGCCTTTTCTGAGATTCTCTGTTTAATTGATATATTTTGTTAACGAACCAAATAGTAAAGTTGTTGATAATATAAAACTGTCAGTAATGTAACTACAATATCTAGATCTTTAAACTGCAGAATTCTAATCAACATTAACAATTTTACATGTCTTGTCATGGTGTAACTGATAAAAAAACATACAAAAAGTCTATATAAATCATCTGTCCGATATAAGTATATTCAAATTACTCATACATTTAATATTATATAAATAACAAGAGGGCCATGATGGCCCTGAGGTTGCTCACCTGTATATAGGCCCCCCCAACCCCCACCCCCCAACAATGCAGGGCCAATTTAACCCAAGGGCTTTTATTTGCACAAAATTGGTAGACACCCATAAGAAGATGTTTCATGCTAAACATCTAAGCTCTAGCTCATTGGGCTTTTTAAAAGAAGATTTTTTTTAAGTTTTTACTATACACATATAGTTAAAAACAATGACACCCCTGGGGCCGGGATAGTTTTGACCCCAGGGCTTTTATTTGAACAAACTTTGTAGACACTTACTAGAAGATGTTTCATGCTTAATATCTAAAGTCTAGCTATTTGGGTTTTTTCAAAGAAGATTTTTTTAAGTTTTTGCTATACACATATAAAGAAAATCAATGACCCCCGGGGCGGGGCCAATTTTGACCCCAGGGCTTTTATTTGAACAAACTTTGTAGACACTCACTAAAAGATGTTTCATGCTTAATATCTTAACTCTAGCTATTTGGGTTTTTTCAAAGAAGATTTTTTAAGTTTTTGCTATACACATATAAGGAAAATCAATGACCCCCGGGGCGGTGCCAATTTTGACCCCAGGGCTTTTATTTGAACAAACTTGGTAGACACCTATACGAACATGTTTGATGCTAAATATCTTAGCCATAGCTCTTTGAGTTCTTTAAAAGAAGATTTTTTAAGTTTTTACTATATGCATATAGGGAAAGTCAATGACCCCCCGGGGCGGGGCCAATTTTGACCCCAGGGCTTTTATTTGAACAAACTTGGTAGACACTTATTAGAACATGTTTAATGCTAAATATCTTAGCTCTAACTCTTTTGGTTCTTTAAAAGAAGATTTTTTAAGATTTTACTATATGCATACAGGGAAAATCAATGAACCCCTGGGGCGGGACCAATTTTGACCCCAGGGCTTTTGTTTGAACAAACTTGGTAGACACCTATTAGAACATGTTTGATGCTCAATATCTTAGCCATAGCTCTTTGAGTTCTTTAAAAGAAGATTTTTTAAGTTTTTACTATATGCATATAGGGAAAATCAATGACCCCCCGGGGCGGGGCCAATTTTGACCCCAGGGCTTTTATTTGAACAAACTTGGTAGACACCCATTAGAACATGTTTCATGCTAAATATCTTAGCTCTAGCTCTTTGGGTTCTTTAAAAGAAGATTTTTTAAGTTTTTACTATATGCATATAGGGAAAATCAATGACCCCCTGGGGCGGGGCCAATTTTGACCCCAGGGCTTTTATTTGAACAAACTTGGTAGACACTCACTAGAAGATATTTAAAGTTTTTTCTTTCGGTTGCCATGGCAACCAGAGTTCTGCATGGAATTAAATTCTTTGAACAATTTATAAAGGTGACCATCAAAGGAACATTCCTGTGAAGTTTGGATGAAATTGGCTTAGTGGTTTATGAGGAGATGTCATTTAAAGTAAAAGTTTACGGACGGACGACCGACGGACGGACGGACGCCGGACGAAAAGCGATCACAAAAGCTCACCCTGTCACTTTGTGACAGGTGAGCTAATAAAAAATTAGAGTGACAACTCACGATTCATTGTTATTGACATTCATGTTAGCTTCAATGGTTGTAGGTTTGGCCTGATGATGAGATAATGATGTAGCACTGGCTTTAGGTATATCAAGTATTTCTCTCCCAGACTGACCTACAGGCGTCAAACCTCTATATGTGGAGGGCGAGTCTAAAGGTAATGTTCGTTCCATGCTAGCTTTGCGCATACCACCTGATTTGGGTGGGCGAACATTGCTGTGAACAGGAGTCCTTGGAGGCGGGATTTCTGAAGGAGACAGGTTAAGGAAATATCGTCCTGTAGGAAGAGGTATACGACTATTTGGTCCTGGACCTTTCTTGGCCAAATTCATCTGCAATGAAAAATTATAATTTTCTATAATATAAAAATTAACCTTCCTACAACAAACAATACCATACTGTGCACATTTCTTCCATTCAAACCCTTTATTCACAATAATTTTGCCAAATTTTTCATCAATTAATAATCAAAGTTTGAAATTGTTAAAATGCTTCATTTATTGATAAGACAAGCAATTATCATAGTATTGCAAGCAATCCATAAGTCCCCTACCGGATAGAACCCCATCAGCATTCTGAAGGGCCATTGGCCATTCACTAATGTGTAAATTTTTGTCTGTTTTAAGTAAATTTGTTGGAAATGTTCTTTAAAAGTGATTACAGGAAAAAGTTTTTATGAACAGACAGACAGACAGACTGAAGGACACTCTAAAGTTAATATTTGAAACATCCATGTTACCAAAATATAACATTTTAAAAAGCAAAATTCTTAAAGAGGAGATAACTCTGGAATTAAAGATGCAATTTCATAAAAAGTTTCAGCTCTTTTTGACTTATCACAAATATTGTTATATTTGCCATGTTTTAAGCCTATTTGTTGCCAAGGCAACCAATATTTTTTCAAAATAGGAAGAACAGATAAGACATGCATAATCTCAAGACTGCCATCTACCCACATGTCAAGTTTCATAAAATTTCCAGTACTTTTTGAGTTATCACTGGATTCAGTTTATGTGTAAAATTTGCCATATTTTCAGTCTATGTGTTGCCATAGCAACCAGAATTTTCAACATAGGAAGAAAAGAAAAAGACGTGTATAATCTCCATACTGCCATCTACACATATTACAAGTTTCATAAAAATATTTCTATTACTTTTTGCGTTAACACTGGATCCAGTTTATGTGTAAAAATTGCCATATTTTCAGTCTTTTTGTTGCCATAGCAACCAGAATTTTCAACATAGGAAGAAAAGAAAAAGACGTGCATAATCTCCATACTGCCATCTATCCATATATCAAGTTTCATAAAAATATTTCCAGTACTTTTTGCGTTATCACTGGATCCAGTTTATGTGTAAAATTTGCCATATTTTCAGCCTATTTGTTGCCATAGCAACCAGAATTTTCAACATAGGAAGAAAAGAAAAAGACGTGCATAATCTCCATACTGCCATCTATCCATATATCAAGTTTCATAAAAATATTTTCAGTACTTTTCAAGTTATCGCGGGATCCAGTAAACCGGTAGGGGACTAATAACTTTTAAAGATAAAAAATTACTTTCATACAGAATATCTACATTACCAAAACTATTTAGGAACTTAAAACAATAACAAGAGGGCCATGATGGCCCTGAGGTCGCTCACCTGTATATAGCCCCCCCCCCCCCCCCGGGTCAATTTTTACCCAAGGGCTTTTATTTGAACAGACTTGGTAGACACCCATAAGAAGATGTTTCATGCTAAACATCTAAGTTCTAGCTCATTGGGTTTTTTTAAAAGAAGATTTTTAAGTTTTTACTATACACATATAGTTAAAAAACAATGACACCCCTGGGGCAGGGGCAGTTTTGACCCCCGGGCTTTTATTTGAACAAACTTTGTAGATATTTACTTAAAGATGTTTCATGTATAATATCTAAACTCAAGCTATTTGGGTTTTTTCAAAAAGAGATTTTTAAGTTTTTGCTATACACATATAAGGAAAATCAATGACCCCCGGGCAGGGCCAGTTTTGACCCAAGGGCTTTTATTTGAACAGACTTGGTAGACACCCATTAGAACATGTTTCATGCTAAATATCTTAGCTCTAGCTCTTTGAGTTCTTTAAAAGAAGATTTTTTAAGTTTTTACTATATGCATATAGGGAAAATCAATGACCCCCTGGGGCGGGGCCAATTTTGACCCCAGGGCTTTTATTTGAACAAACTTGGTAGACACTCATTAGATAGAGGATATTTGTTTGTTTCAGTGTAAGATCGAAAAATATTTCACCGAGTGAACACCAGATGCAATATTTTCCACGAGTGGCGTAGCCACGAGTGAAAATATAATAGCTGGGGTTCACGAGTGAAATATTATTTTGATCTTACATGTAAAACAAACAAATTTTCTGTTTATTTCATGATTTTTTAACGATTTTTACAACCATTTTACTGATTTTTTTCGCCGCGTAACGTCATGCTCTTATCTTCATGACGTCATCAAATAATGACGTCACAATGTTGAAGCAAAATATAATTCCATGATTATTTTTAGATTTTAGATGTTTTTTCAGCACAACGTTCGTAATATTTACGAACTACAGTTATCACGTACATTTGTTATTATGATTGACTACATTTCCGCTGAAAAAAACATTCATTAATGATAAATATTTTATTTTTACGCCAAATATAGTTCGGCTACTGTGAAATTATATTTGGTAATCATTACTGTGAAATTATCAGAATATAATTAACCGTTATAATTCAGTAATCTACTGCAAAACATGTAATAAAAGATGTTTCATGCTAAATATCTTAGCTCTAGCTCTTTGGGTTCTTTAAAAGAAGATTTTTTAAGTTTTTACTATATGCATATAGGGAAAATCTATGACCCCCTGGGACGGGGCCAATTTTGACCCCAGGGCTTTTATTTGAACAAACTTGGTAGACATTCACTAGAAGATGTTTCATGCCAAATATCTAAGCTCTAGCTCTTACGGTTCTTTAAAAGAAGATTTTTTAAGTTTTTACTATATGCATATAGGGAAAATCAATGAACCCCCTGGGCGGGGCCAATTTTGACCCCAGGGCTTTTATTTGAACAAACTTGGTAGACACTCACTAGAATATATTTCATGTCAAATATCTTAGCTCTAGCTCTTTGGGTTCTTTAAAAGAAGATTTTTTAAGTTTTTACTATATGCATATAGGGAAAATCTATGACCCCCTGGGGCAGGGCCAATTTTGACCTCGGGCTTTTTATTTGAACAAACTTGGTAGACACTCATTAGAAGATGTTTCATGCTAAATATCTTAGCTCTAGCTCTTTGGGTTTCTTTAAAAGAAGATTTTTTAAGTTTTTACTATATGCATATAGGGAAAATCAATGACCCCTGGGGCGGGACCAATTTTGACCCCAGGGCTTTTTTATTTGAACAAACTTGGTAGACATTCACTAGAAGATGTTTCATGCCAAATATCTAAGCTCTAGCTTTTACAGTTCTTTAACAGAAGATTTTTTAAGTTTTACTATATGCATATAGGGAAAATCAATGACCCCCCGGGCCCGGGGCAATTTTGACCCCAGGGCTTTTATTTGAACAAACTTGGTAGACACTCACTAGAAGATGTTTCATGCCAAATATCTTAGCTCTAGCTCTTTGGGTTCTTTAAAAGAAGATTTTTAAGTTTTTACTATATGCATATAGGGAAAATCAATGACCCCCTGGGGCGGGGCCAATTTTGACCCTAGGGCTTTTATTTGAACAAACTTGGTAGACACTCATTAGAAGATGTTTCATGCCAAATATCTAAGCTCTAGCTCTTACGGTTCTTTAAAAGAAGATATTTAAAGATTTTTCTTTCGGTTGCCATGGCAACCAGAGTTCTGCATGAAATGGAATTCTTTGAACAATCTTGATAGAGCTTCATACAAAGAGTATTCCTGCCAAGTTTCATTAACATTGGCCTTGCGGTATCATAGAAGATGTCCTTAGAATATTTAAAATGTGGACGGACGACAGACGACGGACGCCATTTGGTTGGCCATCCTAAAAGCTCACCTGCACTTTGTGCAAGGTGAGCTAAATATCGCTAAAAGCAATACATTTGTATATGCTCTCAAAACCTACACATTTGTCAATGCATTTCAATGCATATCAGCCAATAAATAAAGGTTGTATAAGCAAATCATTAAAATCTGTTTTCAGCAAAGGGGATCTTTACCCAAGTGACCCCTTGCACCATCAAAAGCATGGTAGAAATTATGACACTTCCTCTTACTGATTTAGATCACAATGTGAAGTTTTCCTTAAATTCTTCCAATACTGTTCAAGTTATGCTCCAGACATGTGACACACAGTTGGGACAATGATGTGACCTCTGCCCTTCAAGAGTATTTGAACCACGCCATGACAAAACCAACAGTGCGCAGGCTGGTCTGGATCCATGCTGGTCGCAAACCCATTATGTTGGTTTTGTCATGGCACGGCTCATTTGATATATCAAGGAATAAGATTTACCAAATTTGACATATTCTTCAATTGTTCTACCTTCTCTTCTTCAGCCATTCTAGACAACTGTGATAAATTACTACCAGCGGAATATTGTCTGCCTTCTTTTGTATCCATGGCAGCTGTTGTCATGGTGAGACTGACTGGTTGTGACCCAGATGATGAAGCTTGTGGAGCTGATCTACTCACTGGTTGACTGTTGGGAACATTGGGACGTCTTCTATTCTGTGCCATGTTTGACCGAGTAGCTGAAAAATAATCAGCATTATTTTAATGTACAAGTCAAATACTTTTCATTGGCAGCCTGGCAAAGTGGTTAACACGTCAGGTTAGTAATCTAAGGATTGCTGACCACGTGGGTTCAAACACTGTCAGGGGCAAGCCGTTGTTTCCTTGAGCAAGAGACTTAACATTCATTGCTGTTCTAGGAACAGATAAATTTGTATAAACTAAACTCCATCTAAAATATTCAAAATCAACAAATTCTTTTTTTTATCTGTGTATAGCAACTTTTTAATGTCAAAAACTAGAAAACTTTATACATAACAAGAACTGTCAGAGGACAGCGATGCTCGACTATTCGAAAAGTTGTCACAAGTGTGTTTCATTGAGTACAATAATGCTTACCTATATGAATACATAAAATTGTCAGAAAAGGTACAAAGGTTTGTTATTAAGATGTTTTATTGAGCAAATCACTGCTTTATTATTGTGAATGCATAAAATTGTCCCCAAAAAGGCACAAACCCTTCAGTAGTTATGGAGATACCAGCTTACAAGCAAAAACTTTACCAAAAATTTCTAAGTTGAAAAAGGGGCATAATTATGCAAAAAAAACAAATAAGAGTTACGGGACTTGTGCCAATCATGTAAGATAATCACAGAAAACAAGTATGTGAAGTTTCAATCCTTTCCCTTCAGTATTTATGGAGATACCAGCTTACATGCAAAAACTTAACCTAGGATTTCAAAGTTGAAAAAGGGGCATAATTATGCAAAAAAGCAAATCAGTGTTATGGGACTTGTACCAATCATGTAAGATAATCACAGAAAACAAGTGTGTGTGGTTTCAATCCATTCCCTTCAGTAGTTATGGAGATACTTGCTTACATGAAAAATTTAACCACAGGGCTGACAACGCAGACAAATGGGTGACTGCATTAGCTCGATTATTCTGCGAATAATTGTAGGATGTATTTGCTTCTTCCTTTAAATGGCAGACATTGTATTTCAAAGTTCATGATTACAGAATATGGGCAAGGGAAACAACCAGAAACTCTTAATTGAAAAAAATGTTGATATTTCAATTAGAATGATGTCTAGTCTGGAGTACAGTTACATAGAAAATAGATTTAAAATTGTCCTCTGTGAAAAAAACTTCTTATTTTTCATTAAGCATGCACTATATCAGTTTCTAGAGGACGACACAGTAATAATTTACAATATTGTATGGGGAAACAATACTCATGTGCAGTATTTAATTGGTAATTTCCCTGCAGATTTTAATCATTATCTAATTTAATTTGCTTTTATGAATTGACAGGAAACCAGTAATACTTTATCACAGAACTTAATTAGGAACACTTTAAATTGATTTCTGATGATATACTTTGAACAAGTTGATGTAAAGTGTAAATGTCAATAAAAACTTCAACACAGCAAGATTTCTGTGATGCATGAAAGAGTTAAATGCTGTCTGCAGATTCAGTTTTAATCATCATTATCAACAAATCATAGCCTGACAGTGTTGTGAACATGTTATTTCAATTTCACCAAGCTGATTAATGAGAAAACAAAAACTAGTGGGGAAAATGTCGATTCTTTTTACATGTCAGATTTATAATTGAATAGTATTTAATGAGAAATGAAGAAACCTTTGTGCTTCATAATTATCACATTTTTTTAGCTTAACTTTCAAGGCTTACTAGAATGACATATTACATTCATAATAAAATCAATAATCTTTTATGTAATGTCTTCCCATGTATTCAATAGATGCTATAATTTTAGAAATTTAGGGAAACAGAACAAGATTGTAACCATGATCAATCATTATGGTGGCCTTGAATAAACATCTATCATCAAAATCTCAATTTCAAAGTACTAATGGGCATGCAGCCTTTTGATTTTAATTCAGCATCAATAACTGGTCCCTGGATAATAGTTATCAATTCATTTCATCTTAAAGCATTAACATTTCACATCCTTCCTTTATATCAAGATCAAATCTAGGCATGTTTAAAAAAAAAAGATTTTAAAATACAAAAAGCAACATTGAAATATGAAGCATACTTTCTCTAACAGGTCCCAATTCCCGCCTGTTCTGGTTGACTGATTCCCGGCGTGAGTATCGTGATGCAACACTTGTCATGGAGTTTGTTGATTCTGTTGAGTTGTGACGGGAAATTGTTTGTCTACTCGGTCCAGAATTGTCATTACTATTACCAAATCTGAACCCTCGTGTAGCACCCTGATTGCTTGTACTATTTATACTGAAAGAAAATAATGTTGCTTTATTAAATGACTCACTGTGGTTTTTCGACAAGACAGGACTGGAAATAACTTGTTGAGATTAATGTTCCATTTGATGTAGGTCTAGACCAATAACTTATGAATCATTCGCTGACTCTGTTTTCTAGATTACTGTGAAAAAATCATCTTATGTTTAAAAGCAATACCTATGCCAGGGTCATTATGTTATACATGTACTAAATGAAATACTTCAGACTTGAATCAACACCTATATATACTTTTATACATCACGCTTGTAAATATGTTGTTAATAGCTTGAAGTGAAAACTAGAAATCCTAACATAAATAGATCATAAAATTTCACACAATGTTCACTTCTTTCTAGCAAATGAAAGGAAAGGTCTGAAGTTAACATCCTTGAGTATAATTTGTTAATAGCTATCAAACTGTTTGTAAGCATAAGAAATGAATAAAGAGTTGATACATGCATTACATTTGAAATGTAGCCAAACTAATCATCTATGGCTTTAGATGTTCATTATTTCCTTGTGATGATGAAATCATTCTACATCAACAAACAATACCATGTATATATACCTATTACTCCTGGAGAGAGGTTTACTTGGGTTTCTAGGAATTCTGGGACCTCCTCGTATACTTCGAAGGAATCTTCTCACAGAATCACGTACACCAGATAGACAGTTATGTTCAGATAAGGTCAGTCTTGACCATGGATTAACATCAAACATGTCTATAGCAGCAATAGCTAGAGCCCGACCAACCTGTAATATAACATTTTACTATACACAAAAATGTCCTGAATTTGCTACATGTTTCACATACACAAGAACAACACAACAGAAAGAAAATCTGTATAATACTATTGTGTGTGATCTGGAATTACTTTATATTTGAAAATCAAGTTTAAATTTGAAGAGGCATATAATGAAAGTGTCATTTTAAAAAATTTCTTTATTTGTATTTGGCTCTCATAGATAAAACTAGAATTGATCACACTATGTCCTTTAGCACTTTGAGATCCTGTCACAGTAAATTCCACTAAAGACTGAGTCAAATACAAGTAACAGATCAAAATACTCTTATAATAAGACCTGTACATAAGAAAGCTTACTAGACCATTCTCAGTGCTTGACAGTAAGAACTAGAAATGTTTCCATAGGACACGGATGCCCCCACACGCCACTGTTAATCTTATGACTCTAGGTCAAATATTTTTTGGACTACATGTGCCACAAGTTGAAAATTAAAAATCAACAAAGGGCCATAATTCTGTTAAATTTGGTCGCAGCAAAAATTCCTTCCTTTACTACCATCTACACATTAAGGTTGTTAATCCCTGGAAGTTAAAGCAAAATCTGCCATCCGGTTTAAGAGGAGTTGCATTCCCAAAATTTCTACATAGTATATAGTCAAAAAATCAACAAAGGGCCATAATTCTGTAAAATTTGGTCGCAGCAAAAATTCCTTCCTTTACTACCATCTACACATTAAGGTTGTTCATCCCTGTAAGTTTAAGCAAAATCTGCCATCCGGTTTAAGAGGAGTTGCGTTCACAAAATTTCTACATAGTATATAGTGAAAAAATCAACAAAGGGCCATAATTCTGTTAAATTTGGTCGCAGCAAAAATTCCTTTCTTTACTACCATCTACACATTAAGGTTGTTCACCCCTGTAAGTTTAAGCAAAATCTGCCAACCGGTTTAAGAGGAGTTGCGTTCACAAAATTTCTACATAGTATCTAGTGAAAAAATCAACAAAGGGCCATAATTCTGTTAAATTTGGTCGCAGCGAAAATTCCTTCCTTCACTACCATCTACACATTTAGGTTGTTCATCCCTGGAAGTTTAAGCAAAATCTGCCATCCGGTTTAAGAGGAGTTGCGTTCACAAGATTTCGGGACGTCCAGACGGACGGACTGACGGACAAGTGCAACGCTATATGCTCCCACATTGTGGGGGCATAAAAAGGACATAACTCTGTAAAAAGGTAACTCAGAGTTATCAGACCTATGCCTATGTATTATGTAAAATAATCACAGAGAACAAATGTGTAAAGTTTAAACCTATTCCCTCCAGTATTTTTTGAGATACCAACATGCATGCAAAGACTTACCCAAAGTGTGATGGCAACACCTATGCCACATTGAGTACAATAACTCTACTTTTTCTTCAAAAGTCGAGGTTAAAATTATTTATCAAATTACAAAATTACTGATCAATTAATAATTAATTGATAACATAATTGATTGCATGTTTTAAATTCCATTGTCCCAGATGTTTACAGATAATTTAATACCTCTTCAAAGTGTGCCTGCGTGTATTTTGGTGGGAAGCCTGCCAGTGGTGGAGGTGTAGCCCGCCCATCATCCCCATACGCCTGGGGTACAGGGTTCACCATACGTCCAGTATTGTAATTACATTCTAGTGTGTAACTGAAAGATTTTTATATATTTATATATTAATAACAATATACAATCATATTGAACGTTCTTTTGTTCAAAAAATTTGAGTAATTTCTGCTTTATTAAAATTTTGTAATAACATGCAGTCTCAATGAGGCAAAAACAGGCATCTGTACAACAATTAATTATTTTGACAGTCCCAATTAGACAAATCGAAATTTTGGATATTGATTAGTATATATAATTACTTATTTTTATTGTCTTAACTTCTTAGAACATGAAATTTTCGTCATGAACCTTATACAAAAATTTATTTCACATCAGCTTGATAATGTGTGTATAGATGCTATAGGCTAGCAGGGTCCATTATAGAGCTGCTTCCCCAAAGAAAAATTCTTTAAAATCATGCAGTTTTTCCAATTGAAGTGAATTTACATCAAGTTTTTTCTTCCCCTTTAGCAAATATACCTTATAACTTCCCCCAAAATTAAGGGCAAGGCTGCTTTTCAAACTTGTGAAAAAAAAGCCCTAATAGAGAATTGATCCTTGTGTGCTTAAAGAAGCAAGTAAATCAATATATTCTGTATGCAAAGGAATGGTTTTACTTATAAATTACAATCTATATAAACCAGTTAAGTTCCAGTGTACCTGTGTATTATGCCTAATGCCTTGTATATTGCTACTCTCCCACTACCTTCCTTTGACATACCATCCCTCTTATCCTTCGTGTACATGTTCCTCTCTGTAAAGTTACATCCAGTAAAGTCAAAGTGGGCTGTATTCATTGATATCAACTTTGGAAACAACATGTTCTCAACCTGAAGTAAAAGAGAATAAAATAACTCCATGAAATAGAATAAAATAACATGATACTAGGCTGAACAGAATAAAATAACATGATACTAGACTGAACCAAATAAAATAACATGATACTAGACTGAACTGAATAAAATAACATGATACAAGGCTGAACAGAATAAAATAACATGATTCTAAAACCGAACTGAATAAAATAACATGATACAAGGCTGAACAGAATAAAATAACATAATTCTAGACCGAACTGAATAAAATAACATGATACAAGGCTGAACAGAATTAAATAACATGATACTAGACTGAACCGAATAAAATAACATGCTACTAGGCTGAACCGAATAAAATAACATGATACTAGGCTGAACAGAATAAAAAACACGATACTAGACTGAACAGAATAAAAAATAACATGATACAAAAAAAATCCGAACAGAATAAAGTAACATGATACTAGGCTGAACAGAATAAAATGATACTAGACTGAACAGAATAAAGTAACATGATACTAGGCTGAACAGAATAAAACAAGCAATTATCATAGTATTGCAAGCTGAACCGAATAAAATAACATAATACTAGACTGAACCGAATAAAATAACATGATACTAGACTGAACCGAATAAAATAACATGATACTAGGCTGAACAGAATAAAAAACACGATACTAGACTGAACAGAATAAAAAATAACATGATACAAAAAAAATCCAAACAGAATAAAGTAACATGATACTAGGCTGAACAGAATAAAATGATACTAGACTGAACAGAATAAAGTAACATGATACTAGGCTGAACAGAATAAAACAAGCAATTATCATAGTATTGCAAGCTGAACCGAATAAAATAACATAATACTAGACTGAACCGAATAAAATAACATGATACTAGACTGAACCGAATAAAATAACATGATACTAGGCTGAACAGAATAAAAAACACGATACTAGACTGAACAGAATAAAAAATAACATGATACAAATAAATCTGAACATAATAAAGTAACATGATACTAGGCTGAGCCAGTGATAACACAAAAAATACTGAAAATATTTTTATGAAACTTGATATATGGATAGATGGCAGTATGGAGATTATGCACGTCTTTTTCTTTTCTTCCTATGTTTAAAATTCTGGTTGCTATGGCAACAAATAGACTGAAAATATGGCCAAATTTTACACATAACCTGGATCCAATGATAACGCAAAAATAGATCTTGTTTTTTATTCTGTTCAGCCTAGTATCATGTTATTTTATTCGGTTCAGTCTAGTATCATGTTATTTTATTCGGTTCAGTCTAGTATTATGTTGTTTTATTTGGTTCAGCTTGCAATATTATGATAATTGCTTGTTTTATTCTGTTCAGCCTAGTATCATGTTCCTTTATTCTGTTCAGTCTAGTATCATGTTATTTTATTCGGTTCAGTCTAGTATCATGTTATTTTATTCTGTTCAGCCTAGTATCATGTTATTTTATTCTGTTCAGCCTAGTATCATGTTATTTTATTCTGTTCAGTCCAGTATCATGTTATTTTATTTTGTTCAGTCTAGTATCATGTTATTTTATTCTGTTCAGCCTAGTATCATGTTCCTTTATTCTGTTCAGTCTAGTATCGTGTTATTTTATTCGGTTCAGTCTAGTATCATGTTATTTTATTCTGTTCAGCCTAGTATCATGTTCCTTTATTCTGTTCAGCCTTGTATCATGTTATTTTATTCGGTTCAGTCTAGTATCATGTTATTTTATTCTGTTCAGTCTAGTATCATGTTATTTTATTCTGTTCAGCCTAGTATCATGTTCCTTTATTCTGTTCAGCCTAGTATCATGTTATTTTATTTTGTTCAGTCTAGTTTCATGTTATTTTATTCTGTTCAGCCTAGTATCATGTTCCTTTATTCTGTTCAGTCTAGTATCGTGTTATTTTATTCGGTTCAGTCTAGTATCATGTTATTTTATTCTGTTCAGGCGGTTAGAACCCCAGCAACATTCTGAAGGGCCATTGGCCATTCACTTATGTCTCTAATTTAAGTAAATTTGTTAAAAAAGTTCTTTAAAAGTGATCACAGGAAACAGTTTTTATGTACAGACAGACAGATGGACTTTCAAGGACACTCTAAAGTTATTTTTTTAAACATCCCTGTTATTTAAATATAACATTTTTAAAAGCAAAATTCTTAAAAAGGACATAACTCTTGAAATAAAGATGCAAGACATCATACACGATGTGAGTGTAACAAAGAACAATTAGTAATGAAGGTGTTGATAATGACTGTTTATTTTGAATTTGAAGTAAGAGAAAGTAAAAAAACAAAACAATATTTTTTTAATGAAAATTTTAAGTTCAAGGGAGGAAATTCTGATAAATTTTGTGCTAGAGTTGTAAACCTTGTCCCATATGATGTGGTTGATGACTAGAAACTTATATTTAAAGTTTGAAGAAAAAACCTTAAGAAATAAAGAACTTATAGTGAAAAAACGTAAAAACTAGAATCAGAAATCTTGAAATTCAGTCTATTTGTTGCCATAGCAACCAGAATTTTCATCATAGGAAGAAAAGAAAAGAATGTGCATAATCTCCAGACTGCCATCTACCCATATTTCAAGTTTCATAAAAATATTTTCAGTATTTTTTGCGTTATCACTGGATCCAGGTTATGTGTAAAATTTGGCCATATTTTCAGTCTATTTGTTGCCATAGCAACCAGAATTTTAAATATAGGAAGAAAAGAAAAAGATGTGCATAATCTCAAT